TAGACACTGAGTCAGCGGCCCTTTTTTGTCTGCAAAAGAAGAGCTTCTGCTCTGTGTCTGGTTGAACAGAGCCCTTCTTTGATGACAACGAATACGTCTAGACACCATTGTGCAGATCCTCGCTCTTATTAGAGTTGTGGTCATTGGGAAGAAAAAAACATTTGTATGTATAGTCATAGTCCTCTTAGTTTTTTTTACAATTACAATGTTCAAATTCAACTTTATTTATATACTGTAGCACCTTTTAAACTTGTTTACCAAGTTCTTTACTGAAGTCATGTACACTACCATTCAAAACATTATATACTATACAAATTCAAATTTTAAATCATGAATATTGAAAAAAAAACTGTCACTGTCTTTATAAAAATATTAAGCAGCACAACTGTTTTCAACATTGATAATAATAATAAATGCTTCTTGAGCAGCAAATCAACATATTAAAATAATTTCTGAAGGATCATGTGACACTGAAGACTAGAGTAATGAATAAAAGAATTTAGATTTGCATCACAGGAATATGTATTAAAATAGAAATCGGTTATTTTAAATTGCAATAATTAAAAATATTATTGGGTTTACTGTATTTTTGATCAAATAAATGCAGCCTTGTTGAGCTTAAGAAACTTTTTTCAAAAACATTTGAAAATCGTACATTTATGAAAGGGGATAAAGAAAAAAAAATTGTCAGTAAGAATTAAATGAGAGTCTAAATAAATAAAGATGTGTTTTTGTGTGTGTATTTGGTGTTTGTCTGTGCAGGCTCAGGTTGAGAGTGATGGGCCCACAGTTGAAGCTCTTCAGAAGAAGATCTGTAAGTTGGAGCAGGAGCTGGACAGGAAGAGCATCTCAGAGCCTGCAGACAAGAGGAGCGTCCTGAACGAGGACAAGGTGAACTAGAATTGCATTTACTACAAGAAACGTTAGGCCGTTAAAGGTAAATTATCTGTAGAAATCAATGTAGAAGAAGGCTAAAGAAGCCTTTACATATGTAATTTGATGTCAGATGTTTGCTTGAGCTCTTAAGCCCTGTTCACACCACCAGCAACACACAGCGACAAAGCGACATGATCCCATTCATTTTCAGTGGAGAGCTGGCGACTTCCAGCGACACAAGCAACAATGGCAACAGAATGTGGGCATGGCGAGCGACGGGAGTCATGCAACAAAAGTTAAGAATAGTTTACCTTTATGCAAATGAACAGCGAATTTCTCAAGCATCAACCAATAGGAGTGAAGAATCTTGTCAGTAGCGCTCGCACGTCACCGTCTCGAGTGCTCAGTGGCCACTGAGCGCTGCTGTAGTTTAAATAACAACCCTCACCAACAGCAGAATGCTACTTTTATTTATTTTAAGTCTAATTCCTAGTCAAATTAGAATATCTTAGTTTTACTGGCTATATATATAGATTGTGATAGATGTGATTGTATTTTCTAAGATATGTCCAGACGTGCAGTCTACCAATGACATTAGAGTGAGAGCACTAGAAATGCCCACAAGCGTCTTCACAGTACAGTCTTGCGACACACAGTGAGAAGGTTGCTGGCAGTGTGAACGGGGCTTTATTCTTTGACACACACATTTAATTTAGCATTTTGTGGTGAAGTCTTAAGGCCCGTTCACACCAAGCACGATAACTATAAAGATAACGATATAGTTCTAAAAGTCGTTCTCAATATTAAAGAATAGCATAGTTCACACCACAACTATAACGATAACGATACAGAGGAGCGATATCGTTGTGATCACTTTCAAAATGATTTTTTTTCCAGCTGATGAACGATAAAACACTGACAGCCAATCAGAATCCATCCTGCTGTAACGAGCTCAAGAATTTAAAGCGGCAGACGTGCGTGCGCTTAGAATAAACAGACGATATCGTTCGCTGGTGTGGACGCTAATATCGTTATCTTTATAGTTATCGTTCTTGGTGTGAACGGGGCTTTATAGTCTGGCTTGCTTTCTGATCATGTCTGAGTCATTGAAGAAGTATAGTAATCATTATAATTACATCATTATGTTTCTCTGATTTGTTTAATCCTTCTGATTTATTAACAAAAAAACTGTATATATGTGAATTTTTCCTATTTTTGCAGTCCTTTAAAGAAGAAATCGTGAGATGGGAGGAAGGTAAAAAGTGGCAGGCCAGGGTGGAGAAAGTGCGGAGCGTTCTCAAGGAGAAGGAGAAAGAAGTGGAATCTCTGGCTAAACAATTAACAACGATCAAGGAACTTTACAGCAGGTCTGTGCTGTAATCTATCCACATAATGGACAGTTTCAAATGATGCATTAATAGTTTGAATCTTAAATAAATGTGGCCAAAATGTATGCAAGAAACGTGAGCTTAACTTTAGCAATTATTAATAGTAAGAACAAAAGTTGAAGATTCCCAATCATGTTTATTTTGCCTGATGTCTATGAAGGTTGCTACACTGGAACGATACCATGAGAAACTTAAGGTACATTTTGTGAGCCTGTTGGATGAGACACTACCATTCACATGTTTGGGCTTTAATGTTTTTGAAATAAGTCTTTAAGGCTGCATTTGATCACAAAAACAGTAATACTGTGGAAAAAATACTGTGTTTTTTTGGCAAAGCTGAATTTTTAGCATCATTACTCCAGCCTTCAGTGTCACATGATCTTTGCTGATGCTGATATGCTTTTAATATTATCAATGTTGATAACAGCTGTGCTGCTTCATATTTCTGTGGAAGCCATGATACATTTTTTTTCAGGATTCTTTGGAGATTTGAAAGTTCAAAAGAACAGCATTTATTTGAAATATAAATATTTCTTAACATTATAAATGTCTTTACTGACACTATTGATCAATTAATGCATCTATTGAATAACATTTAAAAAAAACAAAACAAAACAGAATATTTAGTAAAGACCATCTGCGAGCTGCAACTGTATAATTTGTGAAAACAACAATTGTGATATTGTTTTAAGAATGTCATGTGACAAAGTTATTTTCTACTTTTATTATAATGTGTATCTTTCCGTTACAGTCAGAAGATGAAAAGCTGAAACGAAAACAAGAGGAACAGTTAAAAGCAAGACTCGACTCAAAAACCAAGGGCATTAAGAAAATCATGATGGAAAATGAACGCTTAAGTAAAGATATTAAAAAGTTTTTTGTTTTTTTTCCCCCATTACCTTCATGTCAGTAAAACATGCTCTTAATATGTCATGGTACAGTATGTTTTTGTGGCAAATTGCAGGAAGCAGAAGCTGCAGAAAAGCTGAGGGTTGCAACAGCCAGCCTTGAAGCAGCCAATGAGAAACTGAAGGTAGAGCTTGAGGAGACCAGTCAGAGACTCTTATTAGCAGTCGAAGGGGCCGTCTTTAGAGGGGGCAGACAGCAAGACCTGGAAATCTTCAGTTGTGTCCAGGTATTACATTTACTTAAATACTTAATCAATTTCGTCATCATGCAAGTTATTCATTTTTCCCTTCACCGGTTATTTGAAAAGATGAAAAGTCTTGAGAGTGAAATCGCTAAGAAGAACTCCAGCATTTCAGAGCTGAAGGTGCAGCTGAAAGAGGCGAATGAGAAATAGCAGGCCACACAACACGCTGTCAGCCAGCTGAAGGAACAAGTGAGACACTGATTCTTCTTCAGCTATTCACTAAAAACACCATATTCTGCCATTACTGAAACATGTTTGATATTTTGAGCCAATTTTACAACACTTGTTTTCATTTGTCACGTGCTTCCTAGCAACAAGGCACATGTTTCTGCTTGAGTTTGCGGTGTTCGGAACGACTTGAAAGTCTGGTAGTGTGTATGTGTGTGTGACCCTCAGTCTTTTTTTCTCTGTAACCATTTATAAAGTTGGCAAATGTGTTATGAAATCTTTTCCAATTTGAAAAGTCACGTACTGCATTCCAGGCTTAACATGCTCCTTTTCCCAGAGATCTAATAGCCTAATATTTATTAACAGGTGGAACTGCTTAGAAATATCCCTGTGGAAGCGACCACAGATGAAGGCCTTGCCAGAGAATATCAGTCCCTGAGGTGAAGTGCGTAAATATCCATAGACTTCAAAGCACACAAAATTACTCAAAACTCATTCTTTGCCAAATATTTTTCAATTAGACTGGCCAATAAACAAGTTGAGAGGGGAAAAAGCTCAACTTCTTCACCAGATTCAATGGTACGATGAGCAGTTTGGAACCAGCAAAGCAGGACCAGGTAAGATCACCATTGATTTTTTGAAGAATTCACATTGTGGCTACATGAGACTTATATCATCTACCTGTTCCTTTTGTAGGATACAGTGAGCTCCAGGAACAAATTAAGACAGCAAATACTGAAAAGAAGAAATTACAGGTATCCCTGAAGAAAAACAAAATGCCTAAAGAATCAGCTGTTTTTAAATCTCAAGTCACATTATAAATGCTTCCATTTTAGGATGAAGTGAAAAAGCTGACTAGAGAGCTGGAAAACTTTGACCCGACATTTTGAGAGGAACTTGAGGATCTTAAGTACAATTACAATCTGGAGGTGAAGAAAAACATCATCCTGAAGGAACAGCTGAAGAAGCTGTCGGATCGGTTTGGAGTGGCGGTTCCCATAGACGTGTCTATCAGCTAACACACATCAGATCGTTTGTCAGGTCATTCGATTTTATTGTTACTGCTCAGTTAGAGCCAAATATGTACAATGTTAATTCGCTTTATATTCAAGTACAATTAAGTTACAATGTTTCATAAGTAGGTTCATATTTATTTTTTTTGTAAAATATAAAATTTTTCTATAAAGTTAGGTTTTGTGATTTATGGCCTCACTAGCAAAAACTGAAAGGTTTTTACCTTTTTACATGTATAATCTATCAATCACTGCCTCAGTTTTGAAACTCCTTAGTTGTAATAAATGGCGATCAATGTCAATGTCCATTTATTTATATACATATTGCTGAACCATCCTCTGAAAGCTATTTAAACAAACAAAATTAAGAATTAAATAAACATTTAGAATTAAATAATAAAAAAACACTTCCACTCTCTAAAAGAAAAAGTGGCAAATATAAAGCAATCACAGCATTCGCACACACATCACATATCTAAGTGCATATATGAGCAAAATGTCAATGGGAAAAATCGCAACAGGCATTTTTGACCAGTATTAAGTGTTGCCAAAGGTTCTTCACTCTGGTTAAAACCAGATTTATCAGGAATGTTTGGTAGTTTCATTCTATGGGATCAGGGTTCAAACTGAATGTCCTGTATGCAGCTGAAGAATTTTCCGTTTATGCTGGAAAACGATTTGAACAAGTCCTTCTCGGAAGCATCTGGATCAAGCTTTTCATCTACATGGACAACCACAGGTCTGGTGTTCAGGAAGCTGTCACCAACAGGCCATTTCAAACCGAGATGATGCCGGTGTATCTGAAGAGTTCAAATGATTTGATCTGAAGAAAATGTGGATAACTGCAGCAGAAGAGTGACGGTTTAATGTATGAACCCTTTATTTACCTTGATCAGTGTCCCATCATCACAGTGCCAAACGATTCCCTCCACTCGCCCCTCTTGGCATTCCTGAAACCAGGAATACAGCTGCTGGAAATCCACTGGAGGAGGGTTCCGGATGTGCAGGACCCCGTGGGGCACCAGAACATGGACTGGATACTTCTTACTTCCCAAACCTACGGAATCACAGAGTTACTTCCTAAACCAGGGATCCTCAAATCTGGCCCACAAGATCCACTTTCCTGCAGAGTTTAGCTCTAACCCTAATCAAACACACCTGAGCATGCTAATCAATATCTACAGGATCATTAGAAAATCACAGGTAGGTGAGTTTGATCAGGGTTGGAGCTAAACTCTGCAGCGCACTGGCCCTCCAGGACAAGATTTGAGGAACCCTGTCCTAAACCAACAGAATTCCTGTCAGTTTCTTACTTCCTTAACAGTTAAACTAGCATTCAAAGGTTTTTTTTTTTTGCAAGAAATTATCACTTTGAATGAGAGTAAAAATATTATCAATGTTAAAAAAAATCAATTTCAAATAAGTGCTGTCTTTTGAACTTTCAAAGAAATCAGTACATTATATTTACCATATGGATTTCCATTAACGTTGGTTCCGATAAGCTCAAGGGTTTGCTCCATGAGGTCTACTAGAGGAATGCTGACAATTTCAAGCAACCCTTCATCCTCCCCGTGTGTCTTCAGGACAAGGGCAACAGCAGAATCATAGTTAACCACAGAGGCGTGCCAGCAGTACTGCTTGTTGGTATGATCCACTGGAACCCAACCTTCATGACAGATATATCTATGCCATCAGCAGCCTTTATTTTCACTCAGTACAGTATAACTTGTGACAGGAAGATCAGGAATAAGAGTGTGTTCCAGAGACACCAACCCACCTGGAATGTGTCCATGTTCGTCCGGCACTGGATGGCCATTCTCATGCTGGACTCTGTGAGCAGCGATCCAGGATTCTGGCACTTCCCGGAAATCTTCATCTACGTTCCACACAAATCCTGTTATTTAGTAGAGAATCAAAAAATATCCGATGTTTAGAACTTTCATAATTATTCACTGCTTTGTGACGGTTTCTTGTTAACCCAAGAAATAACACTGTTAATTCTAATATTTATGTAAAGTTAAATCATACAAAAAGATTAATTTTGGACCAAAATACCTTTGCAGGTCTTCTGCAAATACTGATGCTTTTTGAATCTCTTATCTGCCTGCTTGGTGGGTTTCCGATCCAAGCGAGCCCAGAGATACGGTTCCCCTTAAAACAAATTAATTAATAAGAAATAATAATAAAATTAATAAAAATCCTAATTTTGGATATGGAAATAACTGGCTTGAATATTCACCAGTGATTTCCACATATATGTGTGTGTGCGCGCATATATATATGCAACATTTATAATAATGTTACAAAAAAAATCCACAAATATTATTTTGCAGCAGTTTTTCAGCATTGATATTAATAATAAATGTTTCTGAAGCAGCAAATCAGCATATTAGAATTATTTCTAAAGGATAAGCTTCGACAGCTTTGCCAGCAATAAATTACATACTAAAGTACATTTTATATTGTAATATTATTTAACAAAATTACTGTTTTTAGTGTATTTTTGATCAAATGCCTTGGTGAGCATTAGAAACGTCTTTCAAAAAACTTTTTAAAAATCTTATCGACCCACTAATTTATAGCCACAGATTATACCTTTGTATGTGGTGATATAGCAGCATGTCCCATCAAACTTCTCAGTTGCTACTGCACAGTGAATATCTGATTCAAGAGCAGCAGGGTTCACATTCTCAGTGGCCACCACCTGAAACTGCTACAGAATGAGTAAAATCTTTTAATAAACAATTCAATCTAATAAAAACTCAATGCATGGTGCATTTTACCCGTGCATTTTTATTCATTTATTTTTTAGTATGTTTTATGTTATTGTATGGCATTTTTAGATCAGCCCTGTTGCTTTTAAATGGACTTTATAAATATACTTATTATATGCATATTGCCTTGGGTCTGTTTCTCAGTGCAATGCACTGATTAAAATAATAATGAAAACATGAATTAAAAATAATGACGCTGACCATATTGTAATGCATTCATAATGTTTCTAGGGTTTTGATCATGAGAGTAACACGTACACAAAAAACATTTATTTTACCCACCTGACAGTCGCGTTTTCTGGATGGTTCGTTTCGCACTTCCGTCAGGAAAACACATGGGATCTTCTGCTGCACGGAACCCAGACGGCGCATAATCGCTGCTGTTAATCAGCTTTATAACGGGGTGTGTTGCTTCACAGGTTGAATATGGACTGACGATATCAACACACTTTCAGATCAGCCATTCACATGCGCCCAGTGCTATTTTGTTCAGATTTCCTCCCTCTCATTCTGTAGTCCGAAGATGATCTTAGTCGCCATCTATTGGAACGGAGAGTGAACTGTTTTTTTATTTATTTATAGTAAGCAGGTTTGATGAGCATCTATCTCGGAGCTAAAACAAACAACAACAACAAAAAAAAGGTCATTGCGACTTTATTCTGTATTTTTTAAAAGTTTATTTTAAAATGTTTTCACACAAATAAATTAATAGTGCTTTAAGTACTATGCTTTAATCTTCATGGAGCGGGTCGCCTCATGGGGGCGCCATGTTAAGATTAAACTACTCTCAGTAATTATCGAATCAAGATGTATGTGTTTGTTTCTTTATCTGAATAGATTTGGAGAAATTTTGCGTTAAATCACTTGCTAATTACTGGATCCACTGGAGGAAGCAATATGGATTATGGATTTATATATTGACCAGAGGCAACAGTTGTAACTTAAAATGTCTTAAAGGGGTCGTATGATGCGATTTCAAGTTTTCCTTTCTCTTTGGAGTGTTACAAGCTGATTGTTTATAGATCAGATCCCTGAAGCTGCAAAGACTAAAGTTTCAAATCCAAAGAGATATTCTTTATCAAAGTTAAGACTCTGCCACGTCCCCCTAAAACGGCTCGTTCTAACACGCCCCCACATATCTACCTCACTATGTGGAAATATTTGCATAATGCCACCCAAATGTGCACGCAAAGAAAGAAGGCGTGGTTTCAGTAACCGCAGTTAGTGTTGAAGCAGCCATGTCAGGGAGACGCTGTGTGTTTCTAGGCGAAAGCAAAAGCACTTTATTTGGCCTTCCGAAAGTAGATGCATTTAGGAATCTTTAAGATCACTTACAACAGAACAGCAATGCATTTTATGGACGACCGTTTCGTGAACCTAGGAGAGGAGGTAATTGTGACTTTGCTATGACAATCTGGCGCTTCTGAATCAGCTACTGTTTTGTTATTAGTTTAAGTATTTGCTATTGACTGTTCAAATGCGGAGTTTTGCGCATCGCGCGTGTGAGAGAGACCAGCTTCATCACTGTCTGTCACGCGACTTCCCCTTTCGGGCTCTGTCTTTACCTTTATTTACTATGGAAGTTTATTTCGCTACGAAACAAAGGTAATTGCTACTTTTTCTCTTTTTTTCCACAGAATTGCTTATTTATATCTTGCGATTGTAATTCTGAGAAAAAAAATCTGAATTTGTTAGGTGTCTAAACATTTGGGAAATAAAAACAAAATTGCAAGATATAAACTCGCAACTGGGAGGGAAAAAGTTAGAATTGTAAGATGTAAACTCAGAATTCTGAGCGGACAAAATGTACGAATTGCAAGATGTAAACTCAGGATTCTTAGGGAAAAAAAGTAGGTATTGCGTAATGTAAACTCACAATGCCAAGAAAAAAGTCAAAATTGTGAGATGCAAACTTAATTTTCATTGACAAAACAGTCCGAATTGTGAGATACAGACTCAGAATTCTGAGAGGGGGAAAAAAAAGTCAGAATTGTGAGATGAAAATTTTAAATTACCTTTTTTTATATTTTCATTTCATGGTGGAAATAAGCTTTCCATATCTTTCTACGTCAATTCTTTTTCAAATATAAACCTTTAACCAGTGGCTGTCGTGAAAATGTGTTTATGAAAGATTTATTCAAACATACATTAAATAATGAAGACATCACTAACAGCTTAAGTAAAAATATGAGTATGTAATATAGTGCACTGCATATATTTATCAAAATGCTCTATTTTGAATTTGGTAGATGTCACACCACAATAAAGAGCGTCAACCACACGGACTAATCAAATTCTGTGATCAAACTGACAGATTTTAAATAATAAGAATTTGTTTCATATGAGAAGTAGCAGCACATCCAATTTATTGGATGGGATGTGCACTACAAATAATGCGTTTAGTGAAGTTTTGTTAGAGCATTAACTGAAATCACCATAGACTAAAAGACTGATTTCAGGATTATCGATATCGGTTAATCAAAATGAAGATCAGTTCAAATAAATTCATTTATATTGTCAACCCAGACCTATTATAAACCATTTATTCTCCTACAAAACCTAAACTAATAGATAGTTGGCATTCGGACTGCTGCTTACCTTTCAGAAGAGGCTGGAAGGTGGGAATTTCCTGTAGCTTTATTGCATCTGGATCATTATGGATATTCCGTAATGACTGAGTTCCTTGAGCAACAACTACTATGTCATCCATTTTGGCTCTATGCTTGGCTGGAGAGGGTACAACTGAAACAACGAGACAGAACTTACTAACAAGTATGGTAGAATATATAGACCATAAGTAACACCTCCATTCTAACAGATATATGTCTATAATAAAAATTATATTTAAAGATTAATATATAATTTATTATAATTCATATAGAAATAAGTGATACTATATCATCATCGTAATGCATTTAGAATGATATACATTGCTAATAACTTGTATTATAATTATTCATTCTAAAACTGATTTTGTGGTAAATTAGTCCAAATGTTTATCAAACTGTTCCTCTTCTACATTTAATAACTGGACCTTTTTTAATCAGATTTTTGTCTGTGTACATTAGTTTATTTTAAATATTCATTTGGTGTGACAAGCTGCATGAATAATACATTTAAAGGAGCCAGCCTTGTACCTTAAAGAGTACCAAAGGTTTTGGGTAGTAATTTTAAACTTCTGGTATTTTTCTTCTTCTTCTTCTTTCAAAAACAAACAAACAAACGGATAGCAACACAAGAAATTAATAGTAACTAATGTGTACATTTATTTAAACAGACACATTTTTTATAAACAATACTATTATGAATATTGTAATGCTGTTACATATTCCACATATGGAAGAAAAGCTGCAATTCTTCTTTTATAGTTTTATCTGTTTATTTATCCAGTTGGTTATTGTCTCCACTAGCACTGTCCCTCCTTTGTTTTTTCAATAGGATATGTTATGAACACATTCGTATTCCAATTGTTAACGTAATTCCTAAAAAATTTTTTTTTTAAAAATCAGAATCTCTCTCAAAGAAATTTAAAGCTCTACGGGTTAAGCGAATGATTTTCCAAAAATCTCATCTGTTTCTCAAAGGGGCAAGAACATTAGACACAATGCAGCAATATGAGAACCACCCCTTACTGGGATCATCAGCCATGTCGGTGAATCGCAAGAAGCCCTGTTTGATTGGCCAATCCGTGTGTCAATCATTCCTCCGTGAAATGTAACCGCCATTCTGACTGGCCACAACAAGTGCGCCTTTTTATCCAAAGATCCTATTGGTGGAAAATATAGGTTAGTGGTCCGACAGTCACACGAAGGAAAGAAAAGTAGGTCAGAGACTGATTCCGTTTATGTCACAGTTCCTCACGGACCGGACGTCAAATAACCGAAACGAACTGTGATGTTGAGCTATTCCTCCGGTAAGTGTGACGATTTGACGTTTGACCATTAGGTCTAAGTATTGCGTATTGCTTGTCGATGTATTATGTGCGGGTTTTTTGTCCGCTCGCATAATAATTTCAGTAGGAGGGGCGTCGGTGACATTTCTCAGGTTGAATACCTTAGAACCAATGCAGCTGCCACAACAACAAAAACATCATGTTGTCAGTGATTTAGTTAGAAAGTCATAAATCATAACAGAGCGCAGGCACAAACCCACACCCATCATCGATGTGAGGTTAATGGTCTGCGTCCCCTTTAAGATGGTGGAGCGCAAGTGTACTTGAGCCTCCTGTGTGGGTTGGTCAGTCACTTCAAAAGGTACTTACGTTTGCATTATATCAACTGTGTTCGCCTTCTAAATTGGTGCCGGGTCTCAAATCCTTATGAGCTGGCTACCTAGACAGCATTTTTGGGAGGATGTGTAGGCTCTCACAAGTGATGCTTTCTAGGTAGGCAGCTCAGGGCTACAGTGGCGTCGTTATGCTTCAGATAGCGGTTTCTCTACTATGTCCGTTTTGTTGCCATTTTAAAGAGAGCATTTTCAGAGAACAGATAAAGGGCGTGAGGTTAGTCACCACCATTCAGATGTGCCTTTTTAAACCAGTCTGCGTAGGCTACTGAGTGGTAGCCAGAGTACTAGCCTGAGTACTATATGCATACAACGGTGTCCAAAATCCATTTAAAAATCTCATATTTTGCAGTATTACTAGGCAACGATACAAATGCAAACACATTTGTGACACTGACCAGAAGTCACTTTTGCAAAAGGTCAGATGTTCTTGCTTTCACTGAAGCAACCTTGTTCTTTGCATCATTCTCGGATCATGCTGGATATTATGCCGAAATTTTCAGCTCAATTTTTATGATGAGAATATAATTAGAAACTTTAAATTAAAAGCCAAATGGAAATGCTTTCATTGCAAAACACTGTATAGGGCAGACGGGGCTAGTTGTCATATTTTTACTTGAGTGAATATTTCTTAGCATGGATTTATATTTCATAGGGAAAATCTGTATTTAAGGCACAAACCTTAAATTCTTGACTACAAAACATTTGAACATTTCTACCATGTAAAAAAAAACAAACAATTCATTTAACATAATAGTTGCCCACTTGTGAGAACATGCCCCAGTAGTGCAGCTTATTTTGGCACACTTCATTATTATTACAGTGTTACAAATATTAATTTTGTTTAAATATTAATATTTATAATTAAATGAAATTAATTTACAAAATATCTTAATTTAATTTCTGTATTTTTAAATTATATACATTTTTAATTATTAATTTATTTTGAATCATTATTAAATGTATTAATTTAATATTTTAGATTTCTTATATTCAAATTAATTGTTAATACAGTATTAATAAATAATTGTTGTTGTCAATACAATATTAATAAATGTTAAATATTTATAATACTAATATTTTAAAATGTTAATATTACATATTAATTACCATTGAACACCAAATAGTACCTAATGAATGTAAATCATTTGAAATGCATGTGACAACCTGGTCCAGCTTTACATTTGTGAAAAATAATATATCTTATAAGACAGTCTGCTTTCAGTCATGACAAGTCTAACAAGTTATGTGAAAGTGCTGCTTCCATATTGTAAGATGGGTGTGTGGTGTTCATTTGACGTAACTGCATTCCTAAAGTACAGCATCAAGCACTCATCATTAGGGCGTTCATCTGCACTTACTTCCTGAATTAGTTGTTTTTCCTTAAACCACATCTGGACTTTTTCCGTTCATCCACACGTAATGTTTCTCCTGAATTTGTCTGTAACAACTTGAAATGAGGCTCTTAATTAGGATGGGTAATACAGGTATAATCTTTAAATGTTACATTGTAATACAGTTGCCATGAAGGGAGGTTTAATTTGCATATTTGGCTTTCACCATACTGAAATCGTCTTGAATTCGAATAAACTGAGATTACCTACTTTTATCTTTTTTGCTCGTCGCTTTCTTCCTCTTTTTTTTTTTTTTTTTCTTTATCTTTGGCAGTCTGTTTGGGCTAGCCCACGCATTCGAGAATAGATCATTTGTAGAAGGGTGGAGTGATGGTGGTGCATGAGCGATGAGAATAAAACCACTGAGTTTTTTAAAGGGGTCATATGATGCGATTTCAATTTTTCCTTTCTCTTTGGAGTGTTACAAGCTCTTGGTGCATAAAGAAGATCTGTAAAGTTGCAAAGACTAAAGTCTCAAATCCAAAGAGATATTCTTTATAAAAGTTCAGAGTCAACCACACCTACCTAAAACGGCTCGTTCTAACACGCCTCCACGTCTACGTCACTATGTGGGAAGATTTGCATAACGCCACACAAATGTTCACGCAAAGAAAGAAGGCGTACTACTTTATTTGGTCTTCCAAAAGAGGATGATATCTGCTTCATCATGCCTAGAGCTGATCCGTGCTGGTCGCTGAGGGAATACATCAACTTCGCGCTGTGGATCGCCGGATCGGCTTTCACTGGGGCCGAAGCGGAGTCCAGCCCGGGGTCGTCACATGTGGTTGCCGCAAGCCCGCCGGCCGCGCCGTTCTCAAGCTCACCGGCCTCTGCTCACTCAGCCCGCCGCCGCTCACTCTAGCCGCCATTTTTTTAACCTTAAACCGCATAAACACATTTCATTACACCAAATACACAAAATAATGTTCTTTTTAACAACATCATATGACCCCATTAACACTTTTGTTTAACTATGTGAATTTGAAAAGTGTCTTATGCACTTATCACTGCACTCTTGCTCCAGCGTGGGCATTTAAACGGCTGATTGGAGGGTCTGCAAACACACTTTTTATTTCAGCAGAAAATCCCATCTGAACACAGGGGACTCCTGTTTAATTTACGGCGGGAGAAAGTGGGTCTTTCTTTTTGCCAGTTGTGTTTCTGTAATCTAAATGTGGCTTAGATTGTGAGCTTTCCAAAGGTTTCCTGGCAACCAGAGCAGGTCATTGATGAAGTTCACCGATTCCTCCGTGTGTATGTGAGTGTTTGTGGGTGTATGAGAGATTTTTTTTGGTAGATAATAAGGAAGCTCAAGTTACCTATTAACTTGAAGGGATAGTTCACCCAAAAAAGAAATTACTGTCATCACTTGCTTCAGTCCAAACGTTTATGACTTTCTGTATTCTGTGGAATATCTCAGTGTTTTATTTTTTTTCTCAATAACTCCTTGGCTGCTGTTAAATTTGTTTGATCTTTTATGTTAAATTTTATATTAAAACTCCTTTTAATAGCAGTTTATTCAATGTAAATGTTCCTGCTTGTTTTAACCATTTATTTAAAAACCTAATTTATAAAATGTACAGTTTTAAGCAATTAATGGCCTATATCAAAATGACCTTTTTACTGAATGTTTCAGAGAAGGTCATTTTATCACAAATTGTTCCATATTTAGATGCGAATGCTGTAATGGATCCAACCAGGTTCCAGGTGATCCAGCCAGGTTTAGGACCCTTCATGCTACAGAATCTGCCCTCCTTAAGTTTAAGGTTGCCCCTTTTAACAATATTTTATTGGCAGTTGATATTTAAAGGATAGATATTTTTCAGCTTGTGTTGGTAATTTGTGTTCTGCATCAGCTAAATTAAACAGTGTTGTGCCGCAGGGATCTGTTCTTGGGCCTATTTTATTTTCATCATATTTGTGCCTATTGGGCTAAATTTTTCATAAACGCAATATTTTGAATGATGTGTACACTGATGATACCCAGCTATATATCCCAATTGATCCATCCTCCAATTGATCTCCATCCTTTGATGCACTTGTACATTGCTTAGCCGAGGCTAAGGCCAGGTTACACGAGTGATTTTCTTCATCATAATATCAAAAAGACTGAGTGTGTTGTCTTTGCACCCCTTTCTGTCTAAGGAAATTATAAGAAGGCTGTGTTATAAGATCATCTTAAGAATTTGGGTGTTGTCATGGATTCAGCTTTGGTTCTAGATACGCAGGTCATTAGTGTTGTCAAGGCTGGGTTCTCCCAACTCAGAATTATTTTTAAATTAAAACCAATTCTCTCCTTTAAAGACCTGGAAACGGTCATTCATGCATTTGTATCATCACACATTGAGTACTGTAATTCTTTATATATATTTCTCTGGGTCAATTATCTCGTCTTGCAGTGGCCAGGCTTCTGACTCATACAAAGAAGAGAGAGAGTATAACCCCAATTTTGGTCTCCCTTCACTGGTTGCCTGTAAAATTTAGGTTTGAGTTTAAGGTAAACCTAAGAATTTAGGTTTTGAGTTTTGGAAAGCACTTTGGTCAGTGGCATTTATTTTAAACATGCTATTGAAATAAAAATTTGTATTGTATTGTACAATGAAATCCAATGGGGTCCAAAATGGTTTGGTCCATTTGGTCAAAAATGGTTCACGGACAAAAAAATAATTTCTATCAAAGTGGATGTCGGATGCAAAATTCACTTTTACATGGTGTTTGCATATAAATGTGTCTCAGCTGTGTGTGGACACAACCACCCTACAATGATAAAAATCCATTCACTTAATCCCCCAAAAAACTAAACTGTCTCAGTTATCAAGCTGTTTTGATTGTTGGCCCCGCAATGTCTATATAACAATGTCTCGTAACCTCAAATGCAATGTCTTTGTGAAACTGAAATGTAGAGTTTGTTGTCAATGGAAACCCATTTGGTTGTTATAAATGCAGATTTATTTTTGTCCACAGGAACTTGCCACAAGTGGAAGGACATGCATTGAACATCTGCTTGACTGAATCTGTGTGGTGAGCAAGAGCATCTTGTATTCTCTATACACACATTGATTTAATATAGCATATTATAGCCATTTTAAAGAACTGTTTATTTATTTATTTATTTTTTGCCCATGTTGCTCTTAAGATGATCTAATGGCAGACCAAAGAATGGACATCTCTTCCACGATGAATGAGTTCATTTCCCAGAGTTCTGCAGATCTCATCAGCAGTTCCATTGGCACTACGGGCATGGACTACAACCGCAAGAGGAAGGGCAGCACCACCGAATACCAGTGCGTGCACTCCTGATAGTATAGTTTCGGTTTTCTAAAAAAATTGCCAGTTTATGAATTGTAATTTAATAACAATTTTAATGTTGTCAGATGAAAAGTGGCATGTTTGCAGTTCACACATCTGTTTTTTCTCCAAAATATCTGAAACACAATGTTTTCTTCACTCATTATCTTAATAATAAATAATATATAAATTGTGCAATTATTCATATTTTAAATAATAATATTTAATAATAAAGTTATTTATATTAATTATCTGTGTGTTTATAAGTATATTATTTATAATTATTCGATTAAAGTGAATGTATAATGTATATAATTAATGTTTTGTTTTACAGGATTGATGGCTTTTCGTTTGAGTGAGTAGAGATATTTCCTAATATATTTCACAAATGTACCCTACTAATAAGATCATTGAAAAATAATGTAATTTAAAAAAAAATTGTTTCATGAAAAACTATGGTTTTCACAGTGATAGTATGGACACAGATAAAGATAAGGCAATGGGAAGGTAAATGAATATGAATTACATGAATTAAATACACAGTTTTAAGACATAAAGAGATTAATAAATTAATGATTAATAAATACATATTTTCTCCTAAATCCAGGGATGACCAGCAGGGCCGGATAAAAAATGCCAGGTAAGGTGCAGATTAGATTTTTCTCTGCTTCAGAGGATACATATATATTGTATGTAAAAGAGGTGTGTTGCTTGTATGTTTTCAGCTGATTTTTTATTTAATTAAATTTTTTAGGGAGGCTCACAGTCAGATAGAGAAGAGACGCAGGGATAAAATGAACAGTTTTATAGATGAGTTGGCTTCGTTAATCCCCACTTGCAATGCCATGTCTCGCAAGTTGGACAAACTTACTGTACTGCGCATGGCCGTCCAACACATGAAAACATTACGAGGTGAGAGCTTTCTACCACAGAACCGGCCAGAATACATCTGATCGAGCTCATTATGAGTCTAAAACCAAACTTTTTCCACATTTAATTATGCTTGGCTTTTCTCTTTCTCTCTTTTTCTTGTAGGGGCCACCAACCCATACACAGAAGCAAACTATAAGCCAGCATTCTTGTCGGATGATGAATTAAAGCACTTGATTTTAAGGGTGTGTTTAAAATATCAACTCCAAGGCTTTTGAGAATTTATCATGTGGGAAACTTTTAGGATTTATTTTAAAACTCTTCTTCCCTCTCTCTCTGCAGGCTGCCGATGGCTTCCTCTTTGTAGTTGGCTGCGATCGTGGAAAGATTCTCTTCGTCTCAGAGTCTGTTTATAAAATTCTCAATTACACTCAGGTATATTTTCTTGATAGTGATCTCCATGCTCTGATTCAGTAAAGTTTTTGACGTTAATGCAAACTGTTCTTTTGCACCATCAGAATGATCTGATTGGCCAGAGTTTGTTCGACTACTTGCATCCAAAAGACATTGCCAAAGTGAAAGAGCAGCTGTCATCATCAGACACGGCTCCACGGGAGCGACTCATCGATGCCAAAAGTAAAGTTTGTTTTAATAGGTGTTAGCAGTCATTTTACTCACATTTTAGCCAAAGGCACTTAGACTGATGTTCGGTTCTCTCTGAAGCTGGTCTACCAGTGAAGACTGACATCACTCCCGGCCCCTCCAGACTGTGTTCAGGGGCCCGACGATCTTTCTTCTGTAGAATGAAATGCAACCGTCCGTCTGTCAAGATGGAGGACAAGGACTTCCCCTCAACTTGCTCCAAAAAGAAAGGTATCAGCAGCTTTGCAGGTAGTTTGCATGGGTTAAAAGACTTATGAATAGAGAGAAATAAAAGTAGAAAAAATAGGCATTTTAAATAAATAAATAAATAAAGGTTTAAAAAGTGTGTGTGTGTGTGTGTGTATATATATATATATATATATATATATATATATATTTGTGTGTGTGTGAAATTGAGATTTATACATCATCTGAAGACAGAGTAAATAAGCTTTCCATTGGTTTATGTTTTTTTAAGATAGGGCAATATTTGGCCGAGATACAACTATTTGAAAATCTGGTTCTTAGCTATGCATATTACTAAACAAAAATTACGTTTTGGTATATATATATATATATATATGTATATGTGTAAAACTTTTAAAATAAAATTTAAAAATAAGTATTTCTTAAAAAAATTAATTAGGGAATATAAATGAATTAGTAGATATACAGTATATATAGAATATTAGCAGAATATAAAATATCTGATATTTGCTGTTTTTCCATTATTTTGCGTTCTCAAATGTGTTCTTTTTTTGCTTCAGAGGCTGATGGATAAATCTCTCCCTCTCTCTACAGCAGACCGCAAGAGTTTCTGTACGATCCATAGCACTGGCTACCTAAAAAGCTGGCCGCCCACCAAGATGGGTTTGGACGAGGATAACGAACCCGATAATGAGGGCTGCAACCTCAGCTGTCTTGTGGCCATTGGCCGCCTACATCCGCATATCATCCCCCAGCCCATGAACGGCGACATCCGCGTTAAACCCACAGAATACGTCTCCCGCCACGCTATCGATGGCAAGTTTGTTTTCGTCGACCAGAGGTGAGAAGGTGTTTTTAGATCCGTGTGGCATTATCAGCAAGAAAATTCCAGAATGTTTTCTAGATCTTTTATAGGATACCAGCTAAACTTTTAGATGCACTTTAGTATACGCCTTTAAGGCTCAAAAGACCACTAATAATGTCTGGGGTGAGCAGATTTGATAACTTTCTAAAATTAGATTTGAATTGTCAGAAACCTCAAGGGTCTACAAGTATTGATTTCGGTTCGTGTCAGTGGATTAGCATCTCATTTAATTCTTTGTTTCCATTTAGGGCGACAGCCATCCTGGCGTACTTGCCTCAGGAGCTTCTAGGAACATCATTTTATGAGTATTTTCACCAGGATGATATCGGTCACCTCGCCGAGTGCCACAGACAAGGTTTCTGTTGTATTGGCTTGATCACCTAATTCATACCATTTGTAAATGAATGTTTAAAAAGTGCTTTACTCTTATAATGCCAGTCAATATCACGTTTGTAATAAATGCTCATTTGCTTTTTTACTTCAGTGCTGCAGATGAGAGAAAAGATTCATACAAACTGTTATAAATTCAAGATAAAAGACGGCTCTTTCATCACTCTGAGGAGCCGCTGGTTCAGTTTCATGAACCCCTGGACCAAAGAAGTGGAATATATAGTCTCTACAAACACTGTGGTTTCGTAAGTGTCACATCATATAATGTTTGTGAATGTTTGTTTTTTGAATCGGGCAGAGGAAATAAGCACAGGCCCCACTGACGTAATTCATAATCTAATAAATTTGCCTTTCATACACTACTTAAAAACTCATTTACTTCAGTGTTATCATACACAAATAATTAGTGCATGTAATTGTAAAAAAATTTTAAAAAAATGTCATGCCCTCTGCCTTTAAAACACCATTTCTGATGACATACTGAAGAAAAAATTGTTTAAAAAATAACATTATTTGTAAATCAATTAAATAATATATTATAAAACATGAAAATAATAATTATTAGTATATTAATATAAATATAACAATAATTATACAAACAATCCAATATATATTAAATAAAATACTGTAATATATAATACTAATAGTATAAAATGTATAAATATTAATAGAAATAAACACATTAATAATAAAATTTTATGTATGTGTATTTTTTAAACCATTTATTGTAATACATAAGTATTAATAATAATAATACAAATACTATTATTTAATAAAAATTTTATTTAATATGTGTGTGTGTGTGTATATATATTTCTGTTAAATTGAATTATAGAGAATAGTTTTATAGTAAATAGTTTTATTATAGTAAATAAATTATAATAAGAAGAAATGAAATAATATACAAATCTATTCAAAGTGTTATGTAATAGTATTAGTTTTATTTTTATATATACTATATTTTGTATATGATGTGTATTAATGATGATGATGATGATAATATTATTATTTATTAAACCATTTTATATAAAACATGTTTATTATTATTATTAACAATAAAAGAATAAGTTCAGACCCTGCCAGTTTTTTAACTCTGCAATGTCACATTTTGAATGTCGATAGTATTTTTCTATTCATTACATTCTAATGCAGAATGATATTGCTGATTGTGCTGAATGGGGTTGTTTCAGGGGCAGTATGCTGGAAGGAGCAGACCCTAGTTATTCCCAGTCAGCCTCGTCCCCTCAGAGCATGGACAGCGTTTTAACATCAGGAGACGGTGAGATCACTTTCCAGCTGAGCAGTTTCTCTTACAGATCTCTTTTTTTTTTTAACATTTATGTGCGTATGTTTCTGACAGGTGGGGGGAAGCGTCCTCTTCAGACGGTTCCTGGTATTCCAGGAGGGACTAGAGCGGGAGCTGGCAAGATTGGACGCATGATAGCAGAGGAAGTGATGGAGATTCAGAGGTACGTGCAGCACCCGGCACATTTAGGTTGCACTGCAATGTTGTTCACAAAAACGATATTTGATTCTGTAATGATGTCCTGCCCCCAGGATTCGAGGCTCCTCCCCTTCTAGCTGTGGCTCCAGTCCTTTAAATATCACTCCCACGCCCCCACCTGACACCTGCTCTCCAGGGGGAAAGAAGGTGAGAGAGCCGCCTCGCAAAATCACTCTTTGACCACATTTACACCTACAGCTAATGGAATAATTCACCAAAAAAATCACTTTTGCTGAAAGTTTACCCTCAGGCTATCCAAGATGCAGATGAGTTTGTTTCTTCATCAAAACATATTTGTTGAAATTTAGCATTACATCACTCTGCAGTGAATGGGTGCTGTCAGAATGATAGTCCAAACAGCTGATAAAAACACAATAACACAACCATTTACAAACCATCAATTAATGGCTTGTGAAGTGAAAAGCTGTGTGTCTGTAGAAAATCCATTGGCCAGTCAATAATCCAAAATGAACGCAGAAATTTGCAGCAAATTTTAATTTTTGGTTAAACTATTCCTTTTGGGCAAGACACCCCAGGTGACTGATTAAAACAAGATTACATTTTTAATTTTCATAAATGTCCTGAACAAAAATCTGAACATTGGGTAAAGCCAGGTTCAGAATTATTCTAAAATATTTACTATGGGGACTTTGGATGTCTCTTTTTATCACTCCAAAAATCAGAAAATACTGTCAACACAGTTTTCACGTTTTTAGGAATAAAATGCTTTATAATGTATAAAATATGGCAACAAAGCCCTCTGTAAAAACCTTCAGAATAAAAAAAGTTTGGTATATGGAAGTGCTTTTAAAGGCTGTTTTCTCAAATTTTACAGATGAATTGCTAGAGATGATTCCTCATGGAGCTCTTCTCATGCCTGCTTCAGCTGATGGCTTTTGATTGGTCCGTGGCTGAGATATTTTTGTTCTATGTTGCCATCCAGTGGTAAGATCTGAGGAAATTAAATGTTGTCAGGGGAATGGTTTGACAATTGAGATCTGAAAAATCAATTAGCACCATTGTGAATTATTTTGTAGGTCAAAATCATTTTGTTAGCATACTTCTAAATTAATTGAATTAGTGTGACATAAAAAGTGTGATGGGATTTTTTTGAATATCAAATGTTTCTTGAGCACCAACTCAGCATATTAGACTGATTTCTAAAGGGGTATCATGTGACACTAAAGACTGGAGTAATGATGCTGAAAATTCAGGCTTTTCCATCACAGGAATTAAATAACTGTTCTCTACTTTAATATATTTTGAAATGGAATTTCAAATTGTAATCATTTTTCATTTTGTAGTTTTGATCAAAGAAATGCAGCTTTGAAGAGTATAATGGAGTTCTTAAAAAATAAAAAAACATTCAACCTTATCGACCCCAATCTTTTGAATTGTAATGTATATAGATGTTTATGTATATACGTTTTTAAGCATTTCATAAAATAATTCAATTTTAACAATTTTTGCATTGACATTTTCATGACAATACAATGGATACAAACGTGCTTAATTGTTACAAAAAATGCATATTAAAGTAGTCTTAGCTTCTATGCAAAATCTAATTTTTTTAGGTGAAATTTAAATCTTCCTGGGATCCACCTATAAAATTTTATGAAAACGTGACAAAGGAATTATAGTCATTGCTACATTTAGAACCAAATCTAATTAACCAAGCATGCTGATTTGATCATGTTTATTAAAATAACATTTCTCAAGCAGTACACGAGAGGAATTTCTCTCTTGATAACTACAAATAACATCAAAATAAAAAGTACTGTACATGTGACATCATTTCAGTACTCATTCATTGGCCATGCATCACAGTGAAGCTCCACAGGTGCTCCGTTACACCCCGTCCACGTCAAAACCAGAAGGGATTCTCATTTTATCGCATGATGTCACTCGCTCGCAGGGTGCTACAGTGGGTTGTGCTCCTTTTTATTGCTAAGTTAAACAGCCACACAGCACCACAACATAGTACAGTCACTTCAGATACTAATCAAAGGAGTGATTATCAACTTTGAGTGTCTAATTAAAAAAAACTCCTTTGGTTGAGGTCTATGTGGGAAAGAAAGGCAGTGTCCAAAGGTCATGTGCTGCCACAGCGATCGTCTTTGACACTCTTAAGGCAGGAGAGGACTTGAAAGGCAATGTGGTCTTGGCAGCATGACTTGGCTGGCCTCTCTCTGCAGTGCTCCAGTGGTGACGTGTGTGTGTGTGTGTGTTGGTCAAATGGATGGGGATGAGGCATCGGGATCAGGGTCATACTGGTGGCTGGGCTGAGGGTGGTTGGGGAGGATGTCTAGTTCATCCACCTGAGGCCCGGGGTGCATCACCACCAGCTGGTCCTGAGGGATGTCTGCGGCTGCTGCGGCCAGGTTGGTGATGGACTTGCTTTTCACGCACTGGAAGTCCACGTGTCGGCTTTTGCCTTCCTCTTTCTCCCATGACATACGGATGAAGGGCCGCTGGACGTAGTTGTAAATGACCTCAGGACGTCCGCCGGGTCGCTTCTTTACCTTCTCTTTGTAGGTTGGGTAACCTAGGTGCAAACATAGGCACAGCATTAGCAAGAATGCAAATTAAATGGATAGTTAACATTATCTAAAAAAAAAAATCTAATTATTCACTTTCACGTTGTTCAAAACCTGTAAGTCTTTTTTTGTGTGTGTGGAATATAATGGAAGATATTTTGAAGAATGTTGGTAACCAAACATTTTGATTCCCATTGACACACAATTGAAGTCAATGGGAACCGAAACTGTTTGATTACCAACAGAGTATGTGAGCGGAGCGGTGTGATTTTGCCTGGAGCTAGGAGCGGATTTTTTGAAAGTTGGAGCATTGAGGTTTTCACTCGCTCCGAGAATGCTCCGCTACCGCTCCGTCACCAGCACAAATTATGCCAACTCACACATTAAACATAATTAGATAGCTTGACATATGTGGATCACATATGAAAGTTAAAATGGCGATGGACGAGTGCGGGAGGTTAAAGCATGTTGTAAATCGTACAGTTTGTTAATCTCCGCTCGAAACTAATGTGCTGCTACATTGCTGCACACGGACAGAACACACAAGCTCGCACATAATGTGCAGATCGCACGCATACATTCAGGAATGAAGAAAATTTGGTCAACGCTGTCCTGTGATTTATCAGCTTAAAAACTGAAAAGTTACAGCATATTCTTTCTGTTTCTGAAGTAACTACCCTCAGCTTCGCCATAGTAAAGACGTTGCACAGACAAGTAAGCTAAGCGAGTTAAGCAGTCATTTAATATGGACTTGGGCTAATTGTAGTGTTCCAATAAACCATGTTAAAACTATTCTTCTAGTATTGTGCATTTATTTTTCGTTTAACAATTTCTGAACAGAACTTTGATTTTTCAAGCATAGTGAAATAATTTAGCCGCTGAGCGATGTTTCTGATCAGTGGAGCAGGAAATGGTGAACTCGGAGCGGAGTGATTATTGAATGCTTGGAGCGCGGAGGGGAAATTATTACCACTCCACTCCACTCACATACTCTGGTTACCAACATTATTTAAAATATTTTCTATTATAAAACAGTGTATGGTTGATTATCCCTTTAAATGTGTGTAATGTGTGAATAAGCTAATTTCATTTCAGGTTGATCTGAAAGCAGCCGATTGAAAGCCATCTTGTCCACGTCCTGTTATTCGGTCTCTTACCTTCGATGCCTAATCGAATTTTCTTCAGTCCTCTCTCCTTCAGAACCGACTTGGCCACGTCTCGGTTTTCAATGTATTTGAAGAAGCGGTATAGTTTTGTGCTGTATATAACTGTGTGACACAAAGACAAAACCATTATGACCTTGATTTATACGAATATATTCCTTACAAACCGACAATGATCTTTGATACATCCAGACTTTTCTGGCTAAAAACAAAAGAAATCTTGCTTATGTTAGTGAGTTGCTATGTGGTTGCTAGGGTGTTCACCCATTTTATCATCTACAAGGTCAAAATCATAACACAACAAGCTGCACAGTTTGCGGTATCATTCATGTTTGTAGCAATATGGGTTAAAGGTGTTCAAAAACCACAAGTGCACACCACTAATGACCACGAACAATCACTTCTAATACCCCCCCCCCCCCCCCCCCCCCTAGAAATTACCCATAATGCAGTGATTGACATAGAGATAACAGTGTGTAATTGAGGTGCAGCTGAAGTAAACTGACTCTGTGAGTATTCCTCTCCCATCTGCGGCGGATACTCCTCATCCCAGTCCACCACGTCGTCGTCGGTCAGCACCACCACATGACACTCCCTCTCTCCGCTCTGAGCGCTGGCCACCATCAGGGGCAGCACCATCTCCTCCAGATAGAACTCAAACTGCCGCCGGGCACCATCATTAGACAGCTCATGCATGAGTGCACCTGCAGCCCACATGTTCCAGAGTGTTATTCAAATCAGCTCATAACGATTCAGCAGCTGACTCACTGATTTAATCCAGCCATATAATGACATATACATGATACTTTCAATTAAAAAAGCAATTACAATGTAAACCGGTCACGCTAACAGCATCCAGTGACCCATATCTGGCAATCACATCGGATACAGCACTGACCTACTTCTGCTCTCTCGCATCTACCATCCTCAGTCAACCAAAACGCTCGGAATACCATCCAGCTCCGCCGTTGCCGTGACAATCAGAGCGTTTTCCGGCACAAAAAGACTAATCCGTTTGGTGCATTTGTCATGTTAATATACTCACTGAGGTCTCTGCACTTGATGGTGCTGTAGTCGAAGGCAATGCAAAGGTAGTCACATGCCTCTCTCAGCTCTGGGATGGATATCCCATCAGGGCAACGGATTATCCCCGATTTGTAGTAATCCTGCTAGTTAAAAGAGAGACGCAGAGGAAAAACAAACAGGCGGCCATTACTGAAGCAGCACCAAAGATAAGCAAATGGCTCCGATGCCAGATAGACACACACCCCCCCCCTGCTTTTCCCACTCTTCACACGCACTGATCCATTTAAAGCCAGCCAAACGTGGAAAGAGCTCAACATACGGACAGCATGAAGACGCTCAACAAAACACTTCACTGAAAAAAAAGAGAAAGCTTCAATATGGCTGTTATTTCTGTAGTGCTGTCCTGATTTTTCCACTGAGCTGAGCCTCACGGTAGAAGCTTAACCCTTTCAAT